TACCTGAAGTAAAATTTCTGGGCATAATTTTTGACTCAAAATTAACTTTTAAATCTCACATTAACTATCTGCGACAAAATTGTGAAAGGAAATTAAACATACTCAAGGTTTTAACGAACTGCTCTTGGGGGGCAGATACCAAATCTATGATTAAAATTTATCGCAGTATCATTCGCTCTAAAATTGACTATGGATCTATTATATATGGATCTGCTAGAAAATCTGTTTTAAGATACCTAGACACAGTACACCACGAAGGAATTCGCATTGCTACAGGGTCTTTTCGTACCTCTCCAATTCAAAGCTTGCTAGCTTTATATCATGAACCATCCCTCATTATACGCCGAGCAAAACTTGCCCTAAATTATTATTTTCATATCAAGAGTCACCCTAATCATCCCATGTTTCCTAAGATTTTAACGCCAGACTACGAAACTCTTTTTAACCATAGACCATCCTGCGTTCCAACTTTTGGACTTAGGATGAAAAAACTTTTATCAGATTTTACCATTGAGGATTTTGATATTTTACCAGTATGTAAACCGCATCCTCCCTGGATTGGTATAAATTTTCCTTTCATCGACATTTTTAAAGGAAATACTAAAGAACACACATCATCCATTATTTATCAACAAATTTTTAATTACCACCGAGAGCAATACGCAGATTTTAATCCGGTCTTTACTGATGGCTCAAAAACTAATGGTCACACAGCATCAGCTGTTGTGGCCAATGGATCCACTGTTTCAGAAAAACTTCCCCCGTCCTGTTCAGTATTTACAAGTGAGGCACACGCAATATTCTTGGCTTTACAGTTTATTTCATCTCAACCATTAAAGAAATGGTATATATATAGCGATTCGAAAAGCTGTATTGAAGCATTGTTAAACTGTAATCATAAACCTCATTCTATTATAAATTGTATTTTTAATCTCTACAACACTTTAAAACTTTCTGGGTACAAAATAATTTTTTCATGGATACCTGGACATACTGGCATTCTAGGAAATGAAGTAGCAGATAGGGCAGCAAAATCAACAAATAACCTAACTAATCACAAATCAACGTTATCAGATGTTAAAAATATTATCAAATGTACCTTGTATTCAGAATGGCAAAAAAACTGGAATAATGAGACAAACAATAAACTACATAGTATCTATTCTAACCTACAACCTTATACACATCCTAATCTACTTCGAAAGCTAGAAGTTGTTTTAAGCCGTTTACGTATCGGTCATACTCGCAGACATCTTCTACTAAATGAGCCTGCTCCAGAGTGTTCCCATTGTAAGGAACCGCTCACTATGAAACACATTTTAACCAAATGTAGCAAATTTAAAATTCAGAGACAATGCCAATTCGGTTGCTTTAATCCCTCATTGATTTTATTAATTGGTAACAGTCCCCACGACAACATTTTCTCATGCCTCAAAGCCATTGGTTTTGATACATCAATATAGATATTCAATAAAAAACAAGTTGTAGGTGCGATATAGCCACAACTGGCTCTTGCGCCAATAACTAAAAACTATCTAATTAACTAATTAAGTGTATGGATGAATCATTAGCCTAGAAGTAAAATTTATGGAGTGATTCAGCAGCACTATCTACTTAATTCCAAATTTATCTGAGACCTTAAAAGAATCAGAGATTATTATTGCAAAAATTCTGCTTAATCTAACATTTACGTAGCAAAATTTGCACCTATGAAGTCCTGAAAAATCGGGGGGGGGGGATTTTGATGTTCAAATTTAAGTTAAACTTTAAAAAATTATACTAAAAATATGCCACAAATCCCTACATATTAGGGGGACCGGAAAGTAATGTAGTCTCAGATGATTAAATATTAGTTAGTCTTAAAAACCAATTCATTTTTTTCGATCCGACATTGAAAGGTTGTAGCTAACTGGGGAGAATACATTATTGATTGAAAGTCTTGATAACAAATATCAAATGCACCGAAATAACATTACTTTCCTGTCCCCCTTATAGTTAAGCCTGTAATTTAAGTAACAAAAAAAATATTAATTCAGTTTTTTTAATTTTTATTAGAAACAAGTTAACACGTTGAATGCCATTGGGTCACCGTTGACAGGCACTGAGTTTGTTCGTAGCAGGGCTAAAAAGAATAGAAGGGCTAGTTCACTCCGCTCTTAGAGCTGAAGCTACGATTTCTCTCCTCATGATGTCACTGTGTCCACAGATCTCGGAAGATCGCACGCAAAGATATTATGATAACTTTGCATCTTTCTCCTTGTAAAAATAAGTTAGACTTTTTCTGGTTATTAGCTTTCAAACTTTACATAATTAACACATTATTTCCATTCATAAACATAGTTTAAAAAAACTTTCTTGGCCATTATATTAAAAAAATACCATTTTAAACATGTAAAAATATTTTACTAGTTGGTGAAAATGACGCTATAAATACTTTATTTCAAAAAGTTCAGTTTTAACTTTAATTATTAAGAAAAATGAAAGCATATATCGGCACTTTTTTTTCTACATATTCTTTTATAACAATCAGTTGAGTTAAATTTAGAATCCCCGATTCTAAAATATGCCCTTAATAGCAATTTGTTCATACTTAATCATTAGGAAACATCAACCTTAAACGCTAATTACTGAAACAAAATAATAATTTAGGTTCATAATGACATTAAAAATTTTACAATTGTTTATAGATATTTAAATTTACGATGATATAATTTATAGATATTTAAATTGAAGAGAATATAATTTTTAAAAAAAATCATAAATATTTAGAATAACTACATTAAAAAATATGTTATGAAATTAGGAGAATTTCAACTATATACTATATATTTTATTTATACTTTTTACTTACATTTTAATTTTCTTTGACTTTATCTATTTTTTAATTCTTTTCACCTGCCTTTCTTTATGAAGTAGCGAGGCGGTTTCTATTTAGATAATGAATTTTTATAAAAGTTCTTTACGACAGAATAAACGTATTGCGGTTTTATATTAACTGTGTCATTTCGGAATCCATTCTTTACATAGTTGTTCATTTACTTTAGGGAACACGCGAAAAATTATACTTTTTCCTTTTGTTTTTATATCAGAATTTTTGCAAGTTGCAATCGCGCAAACTGGCATTTCGATAATAGTTTTAAATTCTTGTAAATTCACTGCAAAAACTGAGGAAAGTCATTATAGAAAATAACAAATGTCTTAGAATATCTCGCAAAAAGAAATGATCCAATATTAGTTAGAGCTAGTAAGGCCGAACGCTCCGTTCTTGAAGTAAAAGTGCGAGCTTTGCGCCAAAGTGACGTCACTAGATAAAATCGGAGGATTGGCGCGGCGAGAGTTACTTCAAAGGAATGAACCAGCCCTTCTATTCTCTTTAGCCCTGGTTCGTAGCTGCACGAGGGTCACCCGTGACCGTCGAAGCCAAGATTATTAGAAACACATAATTCGAGTAAATTTTTAATGCTTTTAATTTTTTTATATTATTATCGTTACTGAAATGGTTTAAAGAAATTAATGCAAGATAGAACACACAAAAATCAAAAATAATTTCATTCATATACACAGAGATGCCAACTTGCTCCGGACAGCGAGTAAATATTTTCAAGTGGTAGTTTATTAATTGTGATTCTTAGTTCAATAAGTTCAATTTAGTAGATTTTTATCCACCACTACTTCTAAACAATTCGCAGACTTATATAATTCATCACTTTTTTCTGACCTGTCATGATAAACCCTTTAAAAAACTAGCAAAATCTGTGTAATATTTGAAAAGTTAGTTTGTAGTTATTAACCGTTTGGCCGGACGGGCAAGCTATGTAAAATTAGCTTGGCATTCAACTGGTTAATAAATGTTTCGAGTAAAAATGGAATAATGCTTAAAAAAATCTGAGCTTGTAAAAATGCAGCGTTTTCTGTTGTGCTGGAGGATTTCTGCTACCCGGAATTATCAGTTAATTTTGATTGGATAATCAGTAATTAAATTTTAAAAATTACTAAATAAAAAATTGCCGGGAAAAAAAACAGGATCAACTTCGGCTCAGTATTATTAAAAATGGAGCATTACAGGAAAGCACAATGTATGAATAATAATTTAGGCACCATTTAGTCATTCCCTTCTCTTTTCTTGTGATTTCTCAGTTTGTTTCGTAGAATTGGCCTCCCAGATCATGTGATTAAATACAGACTGTGCGGAACATGTTCAAAACCACCTAATGCCTTGAAAAAGAAATTAGATAAATATATCGATATAGTTCAGCCACATTTATGCAAAATAGTCATTGTAATTTTTGATAGAAAATTTCTCTCCAATAAAATCCCGAGGCCATTTAGCCAATGTGTTTATTACTTAAGTTTAAGAATCAAAAACACTTTACGAGTTTTAATTAAAAGATGTTTAAACGTGGTTTATGTCAAAATTACTTTTTGTGAGAATTTTTGATTACTCCGTAATACAATAAGCAACACTTTTTATTATTTCTTTTTCGCTTCAAAAATGAAAAAAATTATTACCATTTAATTTTTAGTAAAGTTTATTTTTTTAAACAAATATACGTAATAAAGCCTTTATTTCTTAAACTCAAGTCATATTCAGACCTTAAGTACCCATTTTTAAGTACTGTTAATTTTATAGAATAGCAAATTAATGTGTTATTTGAAAAGGTATTAGTACACTATATTTAATGTCCGATTTCACAAGACGAACTTTCTACTCACAAAGAATTTTAGTAAACTGAAAAGTTTACTTAATCTTTCAAATATGTGTACACGTTGTTTATTAAAGAAACTGCAAATAATACTTTATTCATCATGATGATGCAAATATAATGCTGCTTAGATTATCAATTACCAAAAGAAAAATCATTAATCCCTTATACTGCTAGGAATGATGTTTTATTTTTTTTTTAAATTTTGATAAGATTCTAACATAGCAAATTTATGATTAGAATTTAATTTAAAAGTTTATAATCTTTTTCTAATTTAGTGATATTAGACAAAACTCTTTTGCAGTGTGAAAAACATTAAAATAAAAACAATTATCTAACTATTATCAAAAATTTACTCTCGATGAAAACTTTTTCTTTCTATTTTATTTCCAAACTAGTGGTTCAATTAACTTTTCGTTACTCTCTCATTAAAATATGTAGAAAAATTTATTTATTTTCAAACAAACATTTGACTTTTACTTTCGAAAATATCACGAACCATCAACAAATAAAATAGCAATAAAAATATTTAATAAACAAGTTCAATTACAACTTGTATTTAGAAATAAAAGAGCGAAAAAACTTTTATTTATTACCAAAGTTTGTTCAAATTTAATAATTATTATTCACAAGATAAAAATTTAATTGAATTATCTCAGATATGATATTAACTTCTTGAAAAATAAATTGTGTTAGAAATATTATCGTAAATGGTTCTTTTAAAACGCTTTACTATCTTAATTAATTCAAATTGCTTAGACATATTTACAAAAGAGACTCTTACTTTTAAAAACTTTAGTTTCTCTTCGTCTTTTCTTGGAAAGAAAATAGATGACAAACTATTATTCTTAATTTACAAAGAATTTGTTAGCTAGATTAAACACACTTTTAACTGATTATTCTAAATTAAAATGTGTTATAATTTAAATTAGGTATGGCAGAAAATTATAAATAGAATTTCATTTACTTTTCATTACATTATGAAACCAAAATTAAATAAAGATTTTAGTTAAGCATAGTTTAATTGAATTTATAAAGTATAAATTTAACTATCACATTGATGTATTAAAAATTGTACAGTTCTTGAAAGCATAAATTTTCAAATCAAATAAGATTTTTATGAAAATAAAGTACAATTTATTTCATTTTTAAACTTTCAATAACATTTCAAAAGATATCGTTGCTTTTGTTTCTGATGCCACATGCCAATACCAGTGAGCCTGTTTGGTGAAACAAAGCAAATTTAAAACAGAGGGTGCGTTTCTTTCTTTCAGTGGTGCCATCTATGGCCAAGAATATCACTGCACCCACACACGTCACAGCCCGTTAATAAGGTGGACTCATTCACACATCCATCCACAAATAGTAATTCTGATCTGATCCAAAGCATGATCAATATCCAATACAGCATCCCCAGAGGTATTTATTTGCTACGGGAAGATGGAGGAATTTGTGACCCGACAGATTTAACCTGCACCAGTGATCATTTACAAAAGATATAAGCAATCTAATTTAGCTTAATAATTTAAATCTTCAAATTCGTATTTCGTAAAACAATATTATTGCAGTTAATAGCTATATATATATACATAT